CGTCAAGGTCCTTTGAGAATCCGAGCGGGTCCCAGAAACCCAGAGGCGCTTGGTCACCAGTCAGGCCTTGGAAGCCCGTGTTGGGCTTCTCCCACTCGGGCAGAGTGTTGTAGCCAGGGCTCATCAGTCCACTGCGAAGGGGAGAGTCCGTATACAGTGCCCAGTCCCCCCACGCGGAGCCTGTCAATCCATCCTGGAACAGCCTCAGGGCACGAAACAAACACAAACATATTGCTACTCACCTGTCCCGTCTATTCAAAGTACGACAGTGGCACAAATTGGTTTGCATACCCGTGTCGACGTCATGTGCCTTGGAATTATTGGAAGCATGTGAGTGATATTACATCTTGTTTGGGACGGTCAAGACCCAGAAGCCACATAATTAGGCGCCATCATCGTAAGGATGCGCGGCAACATGCATCAGACAAAAAGAAATAGACACTTGTGGAAAAATCCAAATCTGATCTCCAAACTAACTTGCATCCACATCAGCGAGTTTTTCTCACACTGCCGCTGAGCCAATCAGGTTGAACGCAGATTGCGGATTGATCAAGTTCCCATGAATGCAATCGCCCATGGACCATACCGCTTTAATCTGTGTACACGGAAACCCACTTTTTTTTTGGTGGAAACAGTAGATAGTATTCCCTATATAAAATGTATACCCCAAAAGGAGGATATAATCTTACTCTATATTGGGTACCATAGTATCCCCAAATAAAATACTACTCAGTTGGGTGTGCATTCACCCCGAAAGAGCCCTTGCATGTACAATGCTGGCCGGGGTACATTCCGATGATGGCCATCATGGCCAAGCGACCATTTGCCAACTCCGCCGACAGCTTCTTAGTTCGTGCCTGCTTTCCGGGCATTTGAGCAAAGTCCAAACTCCTAGTATCCAACTTAATAACCCCAATAATACTCTCCTGTATAATCCCGCTGTAGAATCGCCTCAAGGAGTTTAGACTAAGTGTAGCTCATTTGAATGTAATGTCTCAGGGGATGAAATCTCGCGCCTTTTCGGCTGCAAGCATCCTAAAGCTGAAAACTTGGAATTTTGGGGCTGTCGTGGCTTTTGTGTCGCTGCTACATGTTTCGGGATTCCGGTCCGCTCTTGCACCGGGGAAGAGAGTTCCATTGTCATGGTTGATATTCCCAGGGCGCGATCTCATTGTGAATGAGTTACCCAAATAAAAAGGACTACAAGTGTTCAAAGAAGTGGTTGGGTTCTCCAAAATGGCATGACCGCCGTCTTCGTTATGACTCCTTTCGGGGGCTGGAACTTTCAGAAGAGGTTCTTGAAGAGCTTGGCACACCTAGCCATTCCAAGATTCATCGGGATACATGACAGTTTAGATAGCGTTCCCTAAACCCTAAACTCTCACCGACCAGTCCGGGATTTTTTGGATGTATAGTTTTGTTCGAAACGCATTTTCCCAGCCTGGCCAAGATAATTGTTTTGTCTTGCTGCGTGTTCGTAGGCAGTATAGGAATATATCATATAGGGGTTATATAGGGGTTATCAAAAGTAGGGAGTACGTAAGGGAATACAGTATGTACAGAGTCTATAGGGGTAGCAGAGAACGAGTTTGGATTTCTGCCGGCATGTCTTCCTGGGCGCCCGGCCTGAGTTGACTATAGAACCATAAGTTTTTTTGGCTTCCTGATGTACCCACCTATACCTTTTAAGGGGCTAACAGGGGTTGTATGGGGTTTATATGGGAGGTATATAGGGGTTACATAGGGTGTAGGGTTTCCCAAAATTAGGGGTACCTTTCTGGGAGCCCCCATAAAAATGTAATATTTTGCAATCTATATTGGTGCCCCCTATTGTGAGAAACTGTCATATCCTCTAGGACTTCCAGGACTGGAGGGGGCAAAAGAATTCCAATCTTCACACTAATGCGGCTAGGGCGGCGGGGCGGACCCGCTGCTTCCTGCACTCAGAAATTAATTCCTAAGAGAATCCAGTCCTTGCAGCCCTGAGCAACATGCAAAAAGATAACAGTTCGACCGTGAAAGTGTACTTGGAGACTTATAAGCCTAGAAGTTGCAGTTTGCAGCTTGACAAGCACAAGTCAGGCCAACTAAAGCACTGAAACATCGCTGCTCGCGGGAAAATGCTATCCTGCACTTGCGTAGTCACTCATGGATACATCAAACAAAATTCCCGACATAAGCATCGTGAACCCTGCCAGCGTGGACCAACAACCAGTGGTCCCTAAACTTATACCTATCTGCATCCCTATAGACCTTCCTTCTACCTTCTTTTATACCCAAAATATCCACCACTAGGGACCATTTACCCTTGTTTAAGAGCACAAGGAGGGACCTGCTCTACCGCAAAGCCTATATTACTGGTCTTAGCAAGGAATACTGGAATAGGTGATACAGGTATTATATAGGGATCAGATTCCTCAATTCCCTACGGAGCTCTCACAATTATAGTGGCTCGCAGGTTGCAGAGCAGCCCCTTGGCAGCTGCCCTTCAAGATCCCTGGGCCCTTGTCCAAATCCCTCCGAACCCGAAACCCGGAACATTGGGGAATCTGCCAAAGTGCTGTTCCCCAGAAACAGCGGGCACAGGCCCCAAAGAAGGCACCACGAACAGGAAATTCCTACCTCAACTTGCCGAACTCAAACCTCCTAAGTCCGAAGCCCAAACCTTCGACCCCTAGATTCTAGATGCTAACCCCTGCCACTGCCTCGGGGTTTGTCACGGGGCCCAGGAAGCCCAGGCCCAGGTTGCCCTTGCCGTAATTGCCGGGCTCATCACCCACCTTAGGCTCCAGGGCTTTGAGGTGAGGTGGGGGGAGCTTGGCACGGGTGAACCTCAGCTACAAACTTCAGAGCTTTGAAGCCCAGCACCCCTGCAACCCTAAACTCAAGTCATACATCTCGAACTTCGAATCTTACACCAGAACCCCATACACCAGAGAAGCACCATATGTCCTAAACCCCAACGATGAAGCTTAAGGCCACCCAGGTACGGGCTTGTTGACAAACAGCTCGTAGCATCCCAGGAAAGCAACAATCTGAGCCCATCCCTGGCCAGGAACCTGCCATGAAGAGTTGAGGTTTAGGGATTTAGGGTTTAGGGATTTAGGGGTTTAGGGATTTAGGGATTTAGGGTTTAGGGATTTAGGGGTTTAGGGGTTAGGGATTTAGGGGTTTAGGGTTTAGGGATTTAGGGTTTAGGGTTAGGGATTTAGGGATGTAGGTATTTAGGGTTCAGGGTCTTAGGTTTTAGGGATTTAGGGTTTAGGGTTCTGGGTTTAGTTTTCTTGGGGATAGGCTTCAGGATTTAGCATCTAGGATTTAAGCTTAGGGTCCAGCCCGGACTGGGGCTTTGCTAGGAGAGATTCTATGTGAGCTTCCACAATAGGGTAGCCCAGGTCCCTGAGCATGGGGCCCACTCGGACATTTACTGGGTAGCTGTTAAGGAACTTAAACTTAGCTACAGTAATAAGGAAACCCATCCTTGTAGTATCTACCCACGATTTGGTAACTTCCTTTTAAACTGCTTTACAGCAACGCAGTGTAGGGATATACCGGGATATCAGGACACACGCGGACATAAGATGATAAATGCGAAAGGAATTTCACCGTTTCCGGTTTCGAATTTCTCCACACAAGGGTACCGCTGGTACAGGGAAGGATGATAGGGGCCTCCTGAAAGATTACAAAGGGCAAGTCAAGCACTCGACAGCAACTCTTTCAAGTTTCTTTCTATATGGTAGTTTCCACAAATTTGAGGGGCCAAGTACAAGCCTCAATAGACCGTGACCCTTCTGAGAGGTACTCTCCAAAAGAAACCCCTGATTGCTGGAAACCTTAACCCACGTAAACCACCATGTAATCTCAGCATCCGTTTGCTTGTCCATTTGATTATTTATCATTGGGATGATACTTTTTACATCATTACATAACCCCTGTATACTCCCAATATACTTTGCTAGGGCTATGAAATGATTATCGGGATTGCAGAATGGTTTCAACCTCTAGGGTGCGCAGAGCCAGTAGAAGTCTGAATATCCAAAATCCGAAAAGCCGAGTAAGACATGGGACTTTTTCGAGCCCAAAACTCAGACGCTCCTTCAAGAACTCCGCATGTAGGTATGCTACATGACTGTTGGGAACCCTTGCGACTGCCTACTGTTTTCACTGCTCCAGTGGAGTTTGACCCCCACGAACTTCTATTTGGTTTAGAATTTTTTTTTGGGTTTTAGTAACCCTAACCCTAAACCCTAAACCCTAAACCCTAAACCGTCATCAATCCCATACACGAACATCATGGCGTCCCGACAGGCTACGCATGCCAACCCAAGTTCAAGCATCTTTCCCTTAATCTTAGCTTAGGCATCCACCCAAAGGTGGTGATAGAACGTCATAGTGGTTTAATTACATTAGGGCTGGGGCCCCTATATATTCTTAGTAGTTGTACCAATTTTACGAGTTCCAGTAGGGGAAGGGATTACATCCAAAGTCTCAGAACTGGGCAGGGTGCCCATGCCAGCTCTTCCCAAACAGAGTCAGCAACAAAGGGCAACTTCTTTTAAAACAACGGGAGACAGCTATCCCCTTGCGGTCAACACAGTGCAGGCCTAGATCTTATTATTAACGCATCACTACTTGAGCAAATTTCTAATCGCGCCACGACTTGGGGAGCACTCTTTTCTTGATAGCGCAAGAGTATTCATGTCTTCTAGTGTCGAACCGCGTGGAGCACATTCCTATTCCTGGAGAAAGAACTTACTCCACAAATATTGCACCTTGGTCAGCGCAGCAAGGCCGTTGGGGATGTCAGTGAACCTGCAGCTCTCAATGGCTTGGGGTCTAGAGCTGGATGGGACAGGGACATGGGTTTTTCTGCATACGTTCGACAATCCCCACAAGCGACCCAATACCTGGAACCCTTGCAGTGCAGCTTGGGGCTTAGGATGGGCCTGGTACGACAAGGCTTGTCCAACGCTGCCCTATGAAAGTCCCAGCCCTCGAGTCCGACGCCGTTGCTCTACCAAAGCAGGCATACTGCAGGGCTCTTAGATTGCAGCGTGCGTCATGTGTTGCTGGTATTAGTATTGCTATTGCGAATATTCTTTATCCTACATAACCCCTAATCTACTATATAGTAGTTTCCATGTTCTTTTCCATTATCCCCATATAACCCCAATATATATACCCTATAATCCCCATAAAGCCCCTATAGAATCCCTATTATTGATACTGTTATTTGTACTTTTCATTACCAACCCCGAAGGCCCAGAATCCTGAGCTCGCGAGACGTCACCTCAAGAGTCCTAAGTCTTAAAGCTCCCCACAAGGCCCCTAAGATGTCCTTGCAATTGTATTTTACCCCTTTAAAAGGATCCGGTTATATCCCTACCTCTCCTGATCTACCCCTAAAGCTTTCAAACTCCTATTTCCCTAAAACCCTAAACCCTAAACCCTAACACCCTAACACCCTTTGAAAGGGATCCTCTTGAAGCCGCCAAGCGTCTTCAGGCCCAGCTTCGGGGAGAGGTCACCGGGCCAACGGAAGTACTCCGGGACGATGTAGCCTCGGGGTCTAAGGAGTGTTTAGGGATGGTAAAGGCTTCTAGGAAATTTAAAGTTTAGGGCTATTAGGGTTTCAGGCTTTTCTGGCTTTTGGAGTTTAGCCTCTTTGGCTTTCAGGTTAAAAGTTTAATAGTCGTGGGGTTATTCAAGGGCAGGTCCATGGGTTCGCGTTCAGGGACTGGTGTCTTGAGATGGTCAGGGTTTAGCCCACACAATTTCTTTGTGTACGAGTTAGCGTGTAGCCTGAAGTTTAAACCCTTTTCGCAGATATCCAGCATTGTAGAGAAGGGCTATGGACTCTGACATTCAGGCCTGTTAAAAGGATTCTTGGGGGTCGCGGCGCAGGTGTAACATCCAACTGCTTTGGAGTCTCGAGTTCCTGAAATCAGAAGTTGATCTAAACTCCTATATAACGTATGTTCCTAGAAGTTAAGCAATAGACCCAAACCATAATTTCTGGCATCCTAAGTGGCACCAGGTTTATTTCCTCCATATACCAACAGTAAAGGGTGCACGCCTCAACGTCCCCAGTAGACTGGTATGATCACATGGGGAATGGGTCCGCATGGTGTAGGGACCCGAGGTATATACATGTATACACATGAAAAAACATGAATATGTAAAGGTATATGGCAAGGGACGAAGACGGACTATGTGGCGTCCTGATTCGGGACGCGATAGAAGAGATTTTGAGAAACATGCATCAAAATTGTGGAGCTGGCCCAGTGTCTGCACACAGTCACACCCATATATTCCTAAAGAACTCTTTAAGCACTAGCCAGGACTGCGAGAAATATCCTAGATGAAGTAATGAGGCAAGCTCTTGAAGTTAGGTTAGATTCACCTTCCTACAGTTATCATAGCAACTGAATCCCTATTTTCCTTAAGAAAAAGGATCCTTCCTGGATTTACATGAGGAAGCCCATGGGATGCATCCAGGATAGGGAGCTTTAGTAAGGCCCAAGGGAACTTACCTAAGCAACGGTTGTTGGGGTAGGTTAGGGTTTAGGGTTAAGGGTTTAGGGTTTAGGGCAACGGTTGTTGGGGAAGGATCACCTGTGCAAATTGGCACCCAGGCAGAGTACTTCGGATGACCAGAGTAGAGCATGCACTGGATCTTAATATTAGGCTTATATTGGGGTTATATGGGGGTAATGGAAAAGAAAATGGAAACTACTACGATGAGTTATATAGGGTATAGAATATGGAGTATATGGGGATCTTAATAGCCTCTTGCCGTCAGGCCGTTTTCCCAAAAGCTGAAAGTGCATTACGCAAATACCGGACCCCACAGGACCCAGAATCATGGAGTATGTGCCACAAAGCTCGAGGGATATAATGCAAAAGAAAACGGAAACTACTATGATGGGTTATGTAGGGTTTAGGGGTTTGGGCCTAGAAAAGTAAGACAGTTCCATACTGTTCAACTGAGCCATAGTCTAAACTCCTAGTATCCCCCTTAAGAACCCCTATGGTAGTTCCCTATATAATCCCCTATATAACCCCCCTTTAAGGAGTTTAGACTATAGCTCAACTGATTACTAAAGCTCGCCAAGGCGCCAATGGTGGCGTACATGGAAATCCTTCCGTGCCTGGTCCGATTTCTGCAATACACAACAAACAACAATGAGACTTGAACAAACCCAAAACCGACTAATGTAGGGCCCAAACAAATTCAGCGGGGTTTTGGGCATATCTTGGGCATATCATACTAGACTTACATACAGGCTGTAGAACCTGTTGCTTATCATGCGGCCTTCTAACATTCCTGTCGGAGATTCTTTTGAGATGTACAGGGCTTACCAAAGATTATTGAGGTCCTGAGGTAGGGAATATTTCAGGACTGGCTAGTGAAACTCCCGCTTGAGTGTTACTGGCTGTGCGAGGGGTGGGGCATATACTATGAAGAACATGAGTATATGTACTCCGGTACATTAAGCGATGACTGCAACAAGGGTATACATCAACTTCAGGTGTTCTTATGCAAAAATCTGGTTATCTCACATACTCGCATTTGGGTTTGCGACCGGCCTCCAGCGTGTTGTGCTGGTTGCCTCAAGATGCTACGGTACAGGAACTCCGAATGTTTTGTGAAGTCTTCCAATCTAGGCCTACTCGGAGTGGCTGCATCGATACAAGCTCCAAACCAAAAATGCAGCTGACCCCCGTCTGAAGACTGCAGTAGACTTCCTGCTTCACAAAGACATGAGAACAACAATGCAGCTTTCATGGCTAGCGGTGCGTGCTGGAGCATATGCAGGTCAAAATTCAACTTTATACAGCACAGCCACAAGTGGCTACTCATAACTAAAGCCTACATATCTTGGGTACAACTTATATACTCTGGATTTTAACAAGTTTTCTGGGTACGGGGAAGAGGTGACACAACCCTGAACCCGCAACACTCTGTGACTCTTTATATGACACCTCTAGAACCTAACATACCCCCACATACACAGGCTATGTGCAGCCACCCTAAATCCTTGGAGTATGGGAAGTTTCCAACAATTCCATACACCAACCCTTAGAGGTGGGCCCTTGAATTCCCTGCCAACTCTCCGCATTTCCCCACCCCAAAGTAAGTAAAATGATGGCTCCAGACCCCCAAGAATCTAATTCCAAATTCCCCAAAAGGTGGGGTTTCCAGAACGAGGGCTGCGACTCATATGTGTTCAAAGAGACCCTCAAGAATTCTTGGAATGGAAGCCCCGCCAGGAGCCTGGACAATAACATTTGTAACTTCCGTTTGATGCTCCGCTATCTAGGCAAGATCCCTAGGCCCTCAGCTCGAAACCCCCCCTAGAACCACCTTGAGGTCTATAGAACCCCCAAAGACTCATTATACAATCCCTATAAAACCCAGAAGAGACTCTATCAACATACCCACCGGTAAGCCCTTTCAAGTCTATAGAATCCCTTTCTAATACCCTAAACACTGAACCCTAAACCCTATACAATCCCTATATAACCCTGGGTTGGCCCCTAAAACCCTTTGAACAATATTAATATATAGGGTCCCCTATTAAAGCCCTTAGGGAAAATAGTAAATATCCCAGGGGCCTACCAAGAACCCATAAGAGACCCTAAACCCTAAACCCTATACAATCCCTATATAACCCATAAGAGATTCTATCCAGCCAGGGTTCTTCAACTCGACCTCGCGGCGGCGCTTGAAGACCGCGGTGTCGCCATCCGCGGAAAGGCCCAGGGGGTCCTCAGCTACATGGAGGTTTTAGGGTTTTAGGGGGTTTAGGGTTTTTAGGGGGTTTAGGGTTTGGGGTTTTAGGGTTTGGGGTTTAGGGCTTCGGGTTTTAGGGTTTAAGGTTTAGGGTTTAGGGTTTAGGGTTTAGGGTTCAGGGTTTAGGGGTTAGGGTTCAGGGATTAGGG